AACAAAATATTTAAAACAAACAATGACTAATCTATTTAAAATTTTTAAAAAAGCCACAACCTTCTCATAAAGAGAAGGTTGCGCAAAAAGCTGAAATAAACATCCAGCACGGTAGATGCTTACTCTCAATCAGAATGTGTTTCACTGTCAGGTGGATCTGGCATTGCTCACAGTTGGTGAATCCTACATCGAACAACTTACCGTTTAGATAACCGAGATAGATTGATATAAGCCACGCTCGTTTTTGAATCGGCTATTTATGTAATTTGCAATTACACGTTGTATAATCCTCTTAGAAATGAGCATCAGGACACAGGATACTTAAAACATTTTATGTAAATGATTATGAGTGTTATTTTTAGAAATCCTTCTTCTCCCTGCCTTTTGGGGTTTTTGCATGCCTATTTTTGACTAATTATGGATCTAGATTTTGAAATTTGATGTCTGAAATTGCATTATCTCTCAGATTTTGTGAGATGATGAAAGATTTTCATGCGGAACGATAATCCTACAATAGTTGCAGTGACAGTCAAGCATATAATGATAAAATGTACTGTCCTACTTTCAATTTGACTAGCTCAAAATTTTCATGGAAATGATCAATTGAATTTTTGTATTTTTTTGAAAATTAAGTATTGGTCAGGCATTCATGTGACATATTGGAAAGATTTCTGGACAAAGTTATGGACGGTTGAATCTGATGATTAAATATGTAAATAGAGATAACAAATTAATTACTAGTTGGGAGTCTTATCAACTGTTATAAAATAAGAATTTGAGCTTTCATATATTGACGAAATATCTAAATATATACGTTGTGTATTCAACGGTACAAATGTTTTAATGTTCTTCTATTATAATATTAACAGGTTGTTTGAAACTAGATATATAAGTTATAGTTATCTGGGTGTAAAGGTGGAAGCTACAATCCGCAAGACATAGTTAGTAATTTAGTTTTTATTAATTACTTTCCACTTCAAGAAATCTTGATTTTACTACCAATAGTGAATACCTTTCGGATTATAAAAATAGTAATCCTATTTTAGAGCGATGAATGTTCCATATTTCACTTTGATTTGAACGAAGACCACGGTACAAAATAATTTTGTTTAACTTTTAACAATATCCATCGCAATCATTAATTGTATATAATCCAGATATAAATTTGGCTTCATAAATAAAACACTGGTCAGTTGGGGTTTAGTCATAATGGCCCTAGACCAAAATGGCCCCAGAATGTTTGTCGAGATGGTCCAAAAAAAAATAAATAATTAGGTTATATTTTATTTAATATAGTAATAATTTTAACAACATACAGTTCAGAGCACTTTTATACATCATTTTATACATATCACTTTGTCAACATACAGTTTAGAGCACTATTATACATCATATATCACTTTGTTTACATACAGTTTAGAGCACTATTATACATCACATATCACTTTGTTTACATACAGTTTAGAGCACTATTATACATCATATATCACTTTGTTTACATACAGTTTAGAGCACTATTATACATCACATATCACTTTGTTTACATACAGTTTAGAGCACTATTATACATCACATATCACTTTGTTTACATACAGTTTAGAGCACTATTATACATCACATATCACTTTGTTTACATACAGTTTAGAGCACTATTATACATCACATATCACTTTGTTTACATACATTTTAGAGCACTATTATACATCACATTATCCTATATCACTAGATCACTTTTAAAGCACTATTTTACATCACATATCACTTTGTTTACATCACATTATCCTATATGACTAGATCACTTTTAATACATTATCATTACTTTCCATTACACACATGTATCTATCGATCAGTTACTGGCCCATGAACGTCTGAAATCAACCGCAAAAGGCGCATGGGAGTAGCCTACCCAGCTCCATATGAAATATGAGTCTTTATTTCTGTATAGATTCTAAAAATATATACTCTATCACTACTATATCATTTAATGTTAATGGAGATTATTATGGTATTATATATGTATAAATAACACATTCCTACAGACCCAGTTCTTGAGAATACCAGTCTACATGTCATCTCGTCCACAGAATTTTCACGGTTAACCCGTCTACAGAAATACCAAGCAAGTTTACAACAATTACCGAGTTAAGTCGTCTACTTAAGTCATTGTTTAATTTTGTTATATTTGTTGATTGCCATATTGATCAGTTATCAAAACAAGTTAATTGATGAGTTTTGTTGTTCCAATAATTGCAAGAATTCAAAATGGCGGAAAACGGAATAGATGGGGAAGAGTTATTTTTGAGGGGAGATAATACGAATTATTTTAAATCAATCATTTATTCATTCTCACATAATAACATTGTACAACAATAATGAAACATTCGCACCAATACATATTCATTTAAACAGCAACCAAGCATACTATCTCATTTAATATTGAATTTAGTGAAAGAGATCCACTATCATATCGGTCCCAAATAGCCATTACATCTGCCTGTTGATTCCTGGTCCGTTTTGACTGCATTCTCTTTATCTTCTTTTCAGATACCAGCCTCATGATCATATAAACTAATTCGGCCTCTTTATGCAAAAGAGGTACCAACATATAAAACTGCAGACACCACCTCTTGGCACGTTGGTTGAGACAGGTATACCAACCCTCAACATCGATGTTGGTCCTCACGAAATGACCATATACTGACCAATCATACACTGACCAAATAGAGTTTGCAATCCATGTTGATTCCAAATATGAAAAGAAAGAGATGATAATATCGGAAGTTGCATACCTATCTTTTAATCTATCAAATGCGGCCACAATGTGCTCCGCTGGCAAATACGGCAAAGCTAAAACTTTGCGAACGATCCTGTAAATGGAATCCTTGGATTCTCAGTCTGAGAAGCCTGGGTAGCGGATGATGTAGATGGTATTGCCTTAGAGGTAGATGGTAATAAGGCCGGAGACGCTACTGGTAACCGTGTCAGCCAAGTGATGTCAGTTTGGCATTCCACCGATTTGGTAGAAGCCTTAACGACATTAGCAAAAGTCTTTCCGGAAGGAGTAAATGGAGTTGCTTTTTCCAAAGACTGCCCTAAGTGGAAACTGGAAAAGCTCATCCAAAAAATTAAAGTAGAAACCAGAGTTTCCTATCCCGAAGCGCGGAAGGCTGTAGAGGGAGAAATTCCCTCTACTCCTTCTGGACCCCCCAGTGGCCCGGGGTTAAAAATAGGTCCACCGCCCCCCATTGCGTGTCGTAAGAGGCGACTGAATTGGGGCTCCTCGTTTGCCGTGAGGTGCGACCCGTGTCGGTTTTGTATGGACACCTGGTGGTTGAGGGTAACATACTTCCCAATACATCACTTTGGGCCAGGGGATTCCTAGACGGGTGGCCAGTGTGGTCCACACTAGTCAATCGGCTTGTCGTGTTGAGCCTATGAGTCGGTGGTTAGAACAGATTAAACTTTTTCTTGTAATAGTTAGTATCTTTTTTCTTCCAAATCATTTCACTGACTCGGAAGCAGCGGCTTGGGTCAATTGGGTAAAAAAATAAAAATAAAAGTTCGGAATTTATTTGCTCCACTCAGAACCTTTATTCTTTTTTTTTTGTCTAAGTATATCTCCCGATTACCCCTAGGGCGCCGGCGCTGGAGTCCCGCGTAAAGCCCGCGCGGATGTCGTGGTCCGTGGTGGTCGGGGGTTTCGGGAGATGAATCCTTTAATATTTCTTCATGGCTACACCAACTAAAAAAAACTTAAACGAGCGTAAGCGCCGGTTAACTGAGGCCGAATTTACTGATTCGTCTAATTCAGACGAATCATGGCCTCGGTTTCTTGTCATTGACAGTAGTGACCCTGAGAGGTCTTTATCATCATTGTCCCCATTTGCAATTTCAAAAGGTTTGACTGGACTTGCCAGTGAACCAAAATCAACAAAAAAATTACGTAATGGGTCTTTGTTGGTTGAATGCTCACGCAAAATTCATTCTGAGCTGTTATTAAAATCATCTACATTGGCTAATATCCCTATCAAAGTTTCACCTCATTCCTCTCTGAACTCTTCCAAAGGGGTCATTCGACATCCAGACCTCAATGGATGTTCTCCTGAGGAAATGAAGGAGGAATTACAGAATATTGGAGTCACGAACGTTGATAGAATATCCATCCGTCGTGACGGCCAATTAATTCCAACCAACACATTCATTCTGTTATTTAACCGACCTAATTTACCATCCGAAATAAAAGTAGGCTATCTGAACATTAAAGTTTCACCATATATACCAAATCCTCTCAGATGTTATAACTGTCAACGCTTCGGGCATGGAACTCGAACTTGTAAGAGTTCGATTCGGTGTGCGCGTTGTGGTCAGTCTGAGCATGACAACAAGGATTGCACCGAAGCTCCTTGTTGTTGCAATTGCAATGGAAAGCATGTTGCCTTTTCCAAAGACTGTCTAAAGTGGCTAACTGAAAAAAAAAATTAATAAAGTAAAAATAGAAAATAAATTATCGTACCCCGAAGCGAGGAAGGTTGTAGAAGGTGCAACTCCATCTACTCCTTCCGGAAAGACTTTTGCTAATGTCTTTAAGGCTTCTACCAAATCGGTGGAATGCCAAACTGACATCACTTGGCTGACACGGTTACCAGTAGCGTCTCCGGCCTTATTACCATCTACCTCTAAGGCAATACCATCTACATCATCCGCTACCCAGGCTTCTCAGACTGAGAAGTCAGTAGCTGATGATGGTTGTTTAAGTCTACCAACTAAAGACGTTCAGCCAAAAGGGACTGGTAAGCAGTCCAGACAAAGGCTTAGCGAAAGTCTTTCTAAAAATGACAAGTCCGGCAAAAAAAAAATGGATCCTCCTCCAAAAAGGGAGGAAGAGATCTTTTGAAGTCTGCCATATCTGATAGTATAGATATGGAGGCTTCCGAGGTTGATGCGGAAGTTCTCAACCCCCCTTACCGCAAACCTCGTAGTCCAGTCAAACCACCCTGACAATGCATCAAAAAAATAATATAATACAATGGAATTGTCGAGGTTTAAGTCATAATCTTAATGAAGTTCAGCTATTAATGCAACAATACAATCCTTTGGCTATTTGTCTCCAAGAGACTTTCCTCAAGCCAACGGATTTGCGTTTAGTGCCATTTAAACATTTTGTTTCCTACCACCATTATGGCACTGGTGATGATAAGGTCTCGGGTGGTGTTTCTATTATTGTCAATAGGAATGTCGCCCAGTCCGAAATCACACTCAATTCTCCTCTGCAGGTAATAGCCGTGCGAGTTACACTCCACGTACCTATTACCATTTGTTCCATCTACTTACCACCCAGCTTATCATTGAACCTGAGAGAATTGGATGACCTTGTTGCCCAGCTTCCTTCTCCTTACATTTTGTTAGGAGATTTCAATGGTCACCATTCTTTCTGGGGTAGCTCCGATGATAATACCAGAGGAAAATTAATAGCCGACTTCATTTATGACAATGATCTTTGCATCTTTAATGACGAATCGCCTACGTATTTCTGCTCAAAAAACCAAACTTTTTCTCATCTAGATCTGACAATTAGCTCTCCATCTTTGTTCCAAGATTTTTCTTGGAGTGTCCACGACGATCTCTGCCACAGTGATCATTATCCTGTAATTCTACGGAATAATGGTCCTTCACCAGTAGACAGGCCACAAAGATGGAAACTCTCCAAAGCTAATTGGCCTCTCTTTGAGGCTCTTTGCATTTCTTCTTTTTCTCAAGATGATCTAGATGAGGCAGAAGACCCGATGGAAATATTTACCACCATCTTACAAGATGTATCGGGCCAGGCGATTCGTAAAACCTCGACAACTCCAAAACGATTCAATAAACCATGGTTTAACGAAGACTGCAAGACAGCACTTAAAGAACGTAATCGTGCTCTGCGACTGATTGAACGTTCTCCTACCGCTGACAACATGGCCTCTTTCCGCATTGCACGGGCGAAAGCCAGGCGGACTATCCGCCAAGCAAAGAGGTCGTCATGGCAGGAGTATGTTTCAAGGATCAACAGTCGCACGTCTTCCAAATCAGTCTGGGATAGGATCCGTAGGATCAAGGGTGAAGCGGATACAATATCTGTGAACCATTTAGAGGTAGATGGTTCAACTCTCACTACTCTTCCAGGTATTGCTAATTCCTTAGGCCATAATTTTTCTTATAATTCTTCCTCTAACTTTTCCTCGGATGCTTTTCGGAGAGTGTAACTCAGGGAAGAGAGGAAAAGACTTAATTTTGCATCAAAAAACGAGGAATATTATAATGATAAATGTACGATCTCGGAATTAAAGTTTTCTTTGAAACAGGCTCATGATACAGCTACTGGGCCTGATGATATACATTATTAGATCCTCAAACATCTCCCTTAACCAACATTAAAAAAAACTTTTATGTATATTCAACCAGATTTGGGATGACGGTGTATTTCCTCCATCTTGTAGGATCGCTACCATTGTACCCATTCCTAAACCTGGTAAAGATCCTAATGACCGCCCTAATGCATTAACCAGCTGCATATGTAAAACCATGAAACGAATGATCAATCTTCTTACCAACCTCCAATGTGGATTTCGGTCCCAAAGGAGCACTGTTGATCATCTCGTTAGATTTGAATCGTTTGTCAGGGATGCCTTCATCCAAAATAAACATCTTGTAGCCATATTCTTTGATTTGGAGAAGGCTTATGACACCACTTGGAGATATGGCATTCTTCGTGATCTCTTTGACTTCGGTCTCAGAGGACGATTGCCATTATTCATCTCCAATTTCTTACATGATAGGACGTTTAAGGTTCGACTTGGCTCCATTTTTTCAGATCCCTTTCCTCAGGATAATGCAGTTCCACAGGGTAGCATATTATCCGTTACCCTGTTCTCTATTAAAATTAATTCCATCACGTCGTGCCTTAGACGGGGGGTTGATGGCTCTCTGTATGTTGATGACTTTCATATGTGTTATGGCTCTACAAACATGCAGACGATTGAGCGTCAGTTGCAGCTTTGCTTAAACAAATTACAGCAATGGGCAACTGACAATGGATTTAGGTTTTCGAAATCCAAGACCGTCTGCATGCATTTCTGTAAACGAAGAGGATTGCACCTTGATCCAGAACTAAAGCTGGATGGTGCTGTCATTCCTGTTGTGCGGGAATTTAAATTTTTGGGACTTACTTTTGATAGCAAGCTTTCTTTTCGTCTCCATATTAAAATCCTCAAGAACAAATGTCTGAAAGCTCTCAACATACTGAGAGTCTTATCCAATACTGACTGGGGAGCTGACCGAAAGGTCCTCCTCCGATTATATCGAGCTTTGGTTCGTTCCAAGCTCGATTATGGGTGTCAGGTGTATGGTTCGGCTCGTCAATCCTATATCAAAGAGCTTGATACCATACACCATCAAGGACTTAGAATCAGTTTAGGTGCGTTTCGCACTACTCCAGTTGAAAGTCTGTACGTCGAGGTAAATGAGCCCTCATTGTACGACAGACGTGACAGGCTTGCATTGCAGTACGCTATCAAGATAGCATCATTGCCACAACATCCTGCTTACTACCCCGTATTTAGACCTTACTTTGAACACCTGTACGAGGTCAAGCCTCGTGCTGTTTCTTCTTTTGGAGTCCGCATTCAACCCCTTATGTCAGCGGCTGGTATAAGCCACAACAGTATTGCGGACTTCATTTCAGATAGACTTCAGTCTATCAAGCAATAAGAAAACTCAGACAAGCTCTATAGTGTTTCTAGAACTAAGGTCTAAATATGAGGATTACTCACCTTTCTATACAGATGGATCTAAGGATGGTGATAAGGTAGCAGCCGCTACAGTTACACCATCCGAAGTTCTATCTGTAGCTTTACCATCAGCAGCCTCCATTTTCACAGCAGAACTCATTGCCATTCTACAGGCACTTGAGTTCTTTCAGTCCTCTACATCATTAAAAAAATGTATTATATTTTCTGATTCTTTGTCCTCATTACAAGCTATTTATAACATTCAGCTTGTACACCCAATAATCGGGGATATATACAAGCTCTCTGGGCCGAAAAAGGACATTGTCCTTTGTTGGCTCCCCAGTCACATGGATATACGGGGGAATGACATGGCAGATGCGGCGGCTAAGGCTGCTTTGTCATTGCCTGTTTCCCCCTTTTCTCTGCCTTTCACCGATTTTAAATCGGTGATAAGGTCTTTTATTCAACATCGATGGCAGCAAAGATGGGATGCTGCAGACACTAACAAGCTTCATGCCATTAAGCCTCTCCTAGGAGACTGGCCCTCCTCCTATTGTGCCAACAGGAGAAATGAAGGTGTTTTGTGTCGCTCTCGTCTTGGACATACTCACCTCACCAACTGTTATCTGCTCAAGCGAGAGCCTCAACCAGTCTGTGAGCACTGCCAGGTCGGCCTGACAGTGAAACACATTCTGATTGAGTGCAAGCATCTCAAACTTTTGAGATCCCAGCACTACCGTGCTGGATCTTTACATCAATTATTTGCACAACCTTCTCTTTATGAGAAGGTTGTGGCTATTTTAAAAAAAGCCGGTCTTTATTTTAAATTTTAAATAGATTAGTCATTGTTTGTTTTAAATATTTTGTTTGTTTTTAATACCACCATGTGGTGTATTACCTGTGATATTGTTTTTAGTGTTTTTTTTGTAGTTATTAAATGACTGTTTCTGTGATATGGTTTTTATCGTTTATTTTTGTTTTTTTGGTCACTATATGACCTTTCTGTGATATTGATAGGTGTTTTATTGTTTTAGTTTTTTCATTATTTTAACGTATTCTGGAGCTATATAGCCCGTTTGGTGCTGATGCTCCTTAATGCATTTCATTTCATTTCATTTACTCCTTCTGGAAAGACTTTCGCTAGTGTTGTCAAGGCTTCTACTAGATCCATAGAATGCCAAACCGACATCTCATGGCTGAAGCGTTTACCATCTGCGTCATTAGCCTTGATACCATCTGATCCGGAGGCAACTGCATCTACATCATCAGCTACTCAGACTCCTCAAATTGAGAAGTCAAGAGATGGTGATAGTAATGCAAGTCAGCCAGCTAAAGACGTTCAACCGAAAGGGACTGGTAAACAGTCAAGACAAGCTAAACATAGTGAAAGTCTTTCCAAAAATGACAAGATAACCAAGTAACATGGATCCGGAAGTTAAATCAGTATCAACTGATTCTAGTGGCAGTAGTATTACTATATTGTTTAAATTGATTATATTAGCTAATATGTATTTTGTTAAATTTGTTTTGCTAATTGTTTTCGTGAAAAGATAAGTTTTCTTTTCACTTTTAGCTCTCATTTAACTGCATAATCATTGTATATACAAGATGTAATATCATCTTTTGTTTCTAGATGTAAATGTATATTATTGATTTTTGTCTAGAAATAAATTTATTCAAAAGTTAAAGTTAAGGTTCTCCCAGGACGAGGCTTCTGCATTGCACCTAGCGGAGGTTGACCCCTGAGATCACCCCTAATGTGGGTGACTCGAGTAATTTTTTAGTGTGGGGACTGCGTTCGCGCTCTCCCCTGGTAAATCAATGTCAAAAGAGTTGTACCCGCCATATATCGCCAGCCAAGTACTAAAAACCCGGCCTTATGCGCTATAAGAGTGAATAACGTTATTATGACGTCGTTTTTACTGTCTTCCTTAGATGCAACGTTATTCCTATGTAAGCTTGTGCGGTCTTGTTTTTCAGACAGGGAAATGTCATTTCAGGCCGGGTAAATCCCGAATTAAATTGTTTTGTCCACTCCAATCTTCCTGCTTACATTTTTTCGCCATAACAGTGTTTTTGACGTCATAATTGTATATTTATACAAGAATTAAACAAAGATAACGTTTTTCGCGAGATTTGGACCGCACAAAGAGTATTTGGCTCTTTTTTTATTTTTCTGACTTAGGGGGAAAAGCAAATTTTTTTTGTTTATCGGCAAATATCGACTTGGACCAAAAATTCTAAATCTGGACCGAACACAAAGAAAAATGTACGAGCCACATTCCTTTTGCGAGAGTTCTTATTCAATTTATGCTTAATGCCATTTCGGGTCATAGAGGGTTAATGAATAATACCAGTCTAAATCTTTTCTAAGTATGTTTCATGGCTCAGCATACCTCCTTAATTCGGCATATTTACCTGGTACAGGAGAAACCTTGATCCGCCCGGAAAGAGGTTTTTTTGGTTTGGTACGTTTTTCTGGATCGTTTTAATTTTCTCTCGTCATGCCGACGGAGGAAATTGTGGAGTTGTCGGATGATGATATAGACCACGGCATTGAAGACAGAGTGATAAAAGTAATGTGCAGAGCTGCGGTGACTCATAAGTTAATACGTGATGTCATAGTAAGAACGATTGGTGAAGTAAAGATTGAAGCCATTGCTAGACGTTTTTCTGCACGGGAGTACGAAGTAACCATGGGTTCATCTGCAGATGCTGGAAAGCTGAGAAACACCCACCAGTTGATATGGACGTTCTGAGGTATATTTTTGCTGATAATTTTTTACGCAGGGTGCAATTTTCCGTACACTGGCTATCTAGATCATTCAAAGATACCATATTGCAAAGAGTATTTTCAAAATATGGTAAGGTGCTGTCACTTTATGAAAGAACAGTGGATGGCGATGAGTACAAGTCTGGTATAAAGGTTGTGGATATGGAGGTAGCGCATAACAAGTTTGGCGACGTGCCCCATATGTTGAGTTTTTTTTTATATTAGGCATGCATACTATTCTGTACCATTGGCAATAGAAGAGAGAAAATTTTTTCGCTTTTGTTGGAAAGGATCTACCTTTGAGTATACCTGCTTAGCTAATGGGCTTGCCTGTGCTCCGAGATTATTTACTAAATTAATGAAGCCTATTTACTCTCACCTACGACAATAGGGATATACAAATTCTGGCTATATCGATGATTCTCTGCTTTTGGGTGATTCTTTTGATGAATGCAAGAAGAATGTTGTAGAAAGAGTGAATTGTTTAGAAAAACTAGGGTTTACTATAAACCAAGGAAAATCTATGATTACCCCATAACTAACTGATGATTTTCTGGGTTTCATTATAGATACAAAGAGAATGGTTGTCTATTTAGATATTGATAAAAAAGACAGAATCAGAACTGAGTGTAAGTCTTTAATACATAGACCTAAATGTAAGATCAGAGATTTAGCCAGGGTGATTGGTATCCTAGTGTCTTCATCCCCAGCTGTTGAACTGGGGCCCATGCATTATAGATCCTTAGAAAAAGGGAAAATAAAAGCCCTGAAATATAAAAGTGGTGACTTTGATAAGTCTGTCAATATTGATAATGATATGAAGGTTGAATTAGGTTGGTTGGTGGAAAATATTGACTCTCAGACACGAACAATTTCAAGACAGAGTCCTGATGTTACTATCACCACAGATGCAAGTCTTTCTGGATGGGCAGCGTATTAGGTGAAGAACATGTAGGGGGCAGATGGAATTTAGCTGAGGAAGAATTCCACATAAATTATCTTGAACTTTTGGCAGTGTTTCAAGCCATTAGGTCTTTTAAAGACATTGTAACTGGCAAGCATGTAAAAATATTTACTGACAACACTTGCACTCTGTCCTACATTAATTCTATGGGTGGTATCAAATCTGTACCCTGTAATGACTTAGCATATAAACTTTGGTCATGGTGCATAGATAGAAAGACATGGTTGACAGCTTTTCATGTGCCAGGGATTAATAATATGACCGATTATGATTCACGGCATTCAATGACAACATTGAATGGATGTTAAATACAGCTGTTGCTTCTGAGATAATGACTATGTGGGACAGCCCTGTTGCAGAGTTACGAGCTTACCCTCCAGATAGGCTTTGTGTTATTTTTACGTTGAAAGAATACATATCAAGAACTTGTGCATTAAGAAAAGATGAGAAATCTTTATCAGTTTCATTAAACCATTTGGAGCTGTGTCTAAAATGACCATCAGCATGTGGCTTAGGCAGGTCATGTGTAATGCTGGTATTGATTGTAATATTTATAAGGTACACAGCATAAGAAGTGCTTCTACTTTGAAGGCAAAGGCTAATTTTGTGCCCATTGAAGACATACTTAAAGTGGCTGAGTGGTCAAACACTCAAACGTTTGCTAAGTTTTATGATAAACAAATTGTATCTGGTAATGTTTATTCTGATGCTATATTAAAAGATTAATTTATCGATTTGTGTTTATCTTTTGAAAAACTTGGCTTTGAAGTCTCATATGAGACCGGAAGTGGTTATGACGTAATAGAATCCCCCAACTAAACTAAATTTACCAAGGTAAGTTAAGTTTAGTTGGGGGATTATATAGGACAAAAAGTAACATGATTCATGTTGACTCTCCGAAGGCACAAACCAAGTTGCAGAGTGCTGCAGAAGAGAAAGATCAGTTTGTGGATAATCTCGCAGAGTAAATTTTATGAAATTAATTTGATAATTTGATTTTGTAGGCGAGGAGTAGACAAGAAGATAATTCAGTTAATGGTGGATCGATCTATTGGTAATACAACACGTAAGATGTGGCGACAAGTTGTTGAGAATCACTCTTTGCAATACCTTCAACGTAAAGATCTGTATACCACATGGCTTCATTCTTTAACAAAGAAAGGGGGAATTGTGAATTCTTTTGCAATCAACTTTAAACCACCACCAAAGAGAAAGGACCCACCTTCAGCTAAATAATTCCAAAGAGCACTTTTGATATCAGAGGCTGAAAAGGTAGACGACTACAGGAACCAAATCATGTCAACATTTGGAGAAATACTGAAATTTGATTCTACTAAAAAGGTATGTATATTTTGAAACACAAAAATGCATCACAGATTATAATAATGTAAGTAGAATTTAATATTGTGGAATACTAAACTCTTGAAAATAACACAACAAGGCATTTTTTATATGTCAATGCCATTTTTTTTTTCAGATTTGTCAAAAGATATCAGGTGCTGGAAAAGGCACAGCTGAATGGTGTATCAATATTGGAAATGAAAACAGCTTAATTCTCTCCTTTGTTCTCACCTGTAAGGAATCGACTGAAAAATTAAAGCCAATGGCAGAAAGTTTAATGGACCGTTACAAGACCTTCATCAGTAGAGAAACTTTTGAGATTGGATGCATGGCACTGGATCCATAGGTTTGATGCTCCTTTCCACACAGATAGTCATCCAAGGTATCCAGCCTTCAAATCAGCTGTCTGGTGCCTTGTTTGCCTATAACAGATCAGATCTGAACCTACTGATAAGAGCAGTGAGAGCTGAACTATTCCCGAAAGTGAAATTATCAACACCTATATTACTAGAAAGCAACTGCGTGTCAGAAGGATTACTGTTGGAGTGCAAGAGACATACAATCTGGTCAGTGTTGCCATTTCAGAGCTTAAGACTGCTGCTGGTTTTGATTCCAATGGAATCTCTCTGTTCAAATCTGATAAAGCCATTGATGAAGTATGAGATAACCAACAGAAGCACATAGAGTGTGTCTCCAGGACCCTGCTGGCTTAAGTTTTTATACAGTTCTAAAATATATCAAATTGAATGGAATAGACATTCCTTATTACAGATACTCCAGAGGAAACAACAGTTTGGAAGGTTTCCATTCTCACCTTTTTGATATAGTTCTTAGCGTGCATTGCAAAATACAGTCACTTCAGAGTTACCTTTTGGGAGGGATAGCTCGTTGGAATGCAGATCGAGACAGCGAGAATGTGAAAGGAGGTCATGGAAGACATGAAATGAAATTAAATGAAATGAAATGAAATGCATTTAGGAGCATCAGGACCAAACGGGCTATATAGCTCCAGAATACGTTAAAATAATGAAAAAAACTAAAACAATAAAACACCTATCAATATCACAGAAAGGTTACGTAGTGACAAAAAAAAAGACGATAAAAACCATATCACAGAAAAAGTCATTTAAAGACTACAAAAACACTAAAAACAATATCACAGGTAATGCACCACATGGCGGTATTAAAAACAAACAAAATATTTAAAACAAACAATGACTAATCTATTTAAAATTTAAAATAAAGACCTGCTTGTTTCAAAAAAGCTTTTCATAAAGAGTGCTGTGATCTTATAGGCTTGAAATGCTTACACTCAATCAGGAAAAGGAGAAAAAGAAAACGAAGATTTGGATGAACAAGAAAAGACAGATCCTGGATATGAATCTGAAGATTCCAGATAAACCAGCTACAATTCCAGTCACTGATTTTGAGACAGCACCAGAGTTAGATCCAGTAATGGTATGTTTATACTTTTTGATGTTTTTCTTCCTTTTTTTTAGAATATTTTTGATATTTTACAAGTATTGTAGTCGCCATACTTTTCAAAAGTCCATTTCTGTTTTAAGATAATATTGGCTATATCATTTATGAATTATAAGCTTATAGAATTGTTTTACATTTAAGTTAATATTTTTTTCTTTTTTTTTCTTTTCTCTGGAAGATGTTTGTGGCTCAAGCCATCTACCAGCGTTTGAAAAGGTTAAAAGGTTAAGTTTGCTGTTAGTTAGTTTGGCAATGGAAGAAGGATCCCTAGGTATTTCCCCTCAAATTCAAAAAGAGATCATCGAAACATTTAAAATTTTAGAAGACCATGACAACTAAAAACTCCAATCTTGCCTACTCTGGATGGAGTAATAGTGGTGATCCACAATCAGCTGCTGTGATTCAAAAGGTTTAATATGGAATAAGATACACTCCTGCTCAACAAATTGACCATACCAACAGATTAGTGTACTGTGTCATAAAACAACTGTGGTTAAAACTGAATAAAGGTACGAGCAAGAAATCAACAGCTGTCAAAAACTTTACCAGAGAATGCAGCATAGAGTTATGGTTGAGGATCCAATTCTATCTCGCCTTGCCATTCCACCTCCAAAAATTAATTCTAAATGTGTTGCTGAATTAATTCGGAGACAAGAGGTATTGATTACAAAAAATTCCACTACTGCTCCAAAAGACATAACAAAGGAAACCCATGTGACTGATGTAGAAATGCCTCAACCTCTGGAGTTACCAACTGTCTGTAAAAAATGGGATTAGGGGCGTGGACATGACTCTTAGTCATAACAATTTTGGAGAAGTGCCTCACATGATTACTTATAACAAGGCTACCAGCAGGATGCTGATTACGGCAAGAGGTCGCCTTCCTTTATGCCTACGTTGTAAAAACATAGGTCATGAAGGGGGTGAATGCCCCAAATTAGTTGTCCGGCCGTCAGGTGGAAAGCGTACCGGACGATGGGGACGATGAACAGATATATCACGCTCAGAGTCAGGAGAGTAAAGGAGAAGAGAAGGATTTAGAAAATACGACTATTGAGGGAAAAGGAAGTAACTTATCGGATGATACTAGTTCTGAAAGTGAGGATAGTGAATCGGGCATGGATACGGATATATCAACAGTCACAAAAGAAGAAGAGGAAGGTTTTAAAGTAGTGGAATCGGGTATGGAAACGGACGCATCTACAATACAGAAGAGAGCGAGAGAGGACGACTAAGGATTCACAGTGGTAGAGAAAAAAGCGAGCAGAATTAAAAAGGCAAGTGAGGTTTCCCTCAGCAATGTTTGATTTTCTATTTTTTCTTTTTGTTTATTAATCTACGACCTACGCATTCTACAATAAATAAATTTTGTTTAACCTCCAGTATATTATGCCTAGCTGGGGATTTTAATTGTATTCTATCTAGAAAAGATAAGGTAGGGGGTAATCCTGATGCTGGTAGAGAAGGACATATTCAGTTGAGTAAAATTATAACAGATTTTTCGTTAATTGATGCATTTAAGTTTTTAAAACCTAATGAAACCATTTGCACTTGGCATGGAGCCAAAGTTTCAACCCGTATAGACAGATTTTATTTTTGAAGTAGATTTACAAATTCACTCCACGATTTCAAAATTTTTCCTTGTAATTTTTCAGATCATGATTATGTTTTGGCTTTTGTTTCTTTAGAAAACGCAGTTCAAGTTGGGCCTGGTTATTGGAAGTTTAATAGCTCTATTTTGCAGGAACGAGAGTTTACCACGACTTTTCGTTCATTTTTTACCGCAAATTTTAGTAATATTTCGGAAATAACTTTTGACTGGTGGGAGAATTTTAAACTTGAGGCTAAAAAATTTATAATTTCTTATTTTGCAAAGGCAAGGCAATTTTGGCTAATAAAGAGAGACGATCCCTAGAAAAAAGATACAGTAATTTAATTTTGGCAGAAAACTCAAATCCGGGATTGTTAAATGATGAAATTAAGTCGGTTAAAAAAGAGCTAAACAATTTATCTTTGGCTAGAGATCTCGGTAATATTATTCGTGCTAAAGCTCAATTTTTGCTTCATTTATTCCTCCTCATTATAAGAATTGTGTAGATGTTTTAAAATTGTTCGATAGTTTACAGCCTAATTTTGATTGGAAAAAACCAGCTACCACTAAGCAATTCTATAATATTTTAGTTCAATCTGTTGTTAAAGAAAATCTAATTATTAAATGCTTTGCAACTGTTAATTTTAAAGTATCTTTTGTTAATTTTGTAGATCCACATGCAAGGAGCTTGGCTTGGAAAATGATTCATGATGTTGTTCCTTGTATGTGGACTCTATTTTGTAGAAAGCATACCCTAGAGAAGTTGTTTGTTTATTGTATTAGTGTGGAGACAGTTGAACATGCTTTTTATACTTGTAAGCCGGTCTCTCCATTATGGAGTATAATTAAAAGTTTTATTTCCCGTTTACCTGCATCTAAGATTAGTCTAACATTTCATCACATTGATTTTTCGTATTCTAATAGCATACATTTAGATATCATTTTGTTAATTTTAAATTTAGGCAAAACTGTTATTTGGAGTAATAGAAATGATTCTTAATATAGACATAAAAATGTTTCTTCAAATATCCTTACGGAAAGATTAAGGTTTAGAATTATTGTGGATAAATTTAGATATTCTCCCAGCAAGTTTAATAAGTATTGGCTAGACCCTGGCATATTTTGTTTCATTGATGAAGTTGGAATTTGTTTTTTAAGTGTATGATTATTTATTGGGAGATAACTAATATTTTTATAATAGTATTTATAAAAAAAAAGGAAATGAAATGAAATGCATTAAGGAACATCAGCACCAAACGGGCTATATAGCTCCAGAATACGTTAAAATAAAACACCTATCGATATCACAGAAAAGTCACACAGCGACAACAAAACAAGACGCTAAAAACCATATCACAAAAAAGTCATTCAACGACCACAAAAACTACTAAAAACAATATCACAGGCAATACACCACATAGCGGTATTAAAAACAAACAAAATATCAAAAACAAACAATGTCTAATCTATTCAAAATTTAAAATAAAGACCTCATGAAGTGAAGGCTGTGCAAATAAATGATGTAAAGATCCAGCACGGTAGTGCTGGGATCTCAAAGGTTTGAAATGCTTGCACTCAATCAGAATGTGTTTCACTGTCAGGCGGACCTGGTTCGCCCCTGGTAGATCAATGTCAAAAGAGCCATATAGACTCACTCCACTAAAACATTTTAAACGAATGTAGTCCAGGCTATTTCATAAATCTTCTTTCTCCTTCCCTTTCGGGATTTGTGCATGCCTAATTTTGGGTAATTTTTGGTCTAGATTTGGAATTTGATGTCTGAAATTGCATTACCTTTAAGATTTGGTGAGATGATGAGAGACCTAAAGGCGAAAGGCTAATTCTAAAAATAGTCGTTTTGTGAAGTGCCAAACTCTAGCGGATGAGTATAACCGGTAGTAGTCTACTTTCAATTTTAGAAGCTCAAAATTTTCATGGTCATCATATATTGAATTTTTTAAGGAGACATTGAAAATTGGTCAGGCTTTCATTCGACATGTTGGAAAGCTTTCAACGAGATTTCTGGTAAAAGTTGTAGAAGGTTGAATTTCGTGTTTTAACATGGGTAGAGATGGCAAATGAATTTGTGGCGGAGTCCACACAGCTCGATGTTACTAAACAAAATATGATTTCATCTTTACGGGAGATAACTCCTCAAATTATATTTCTAAAGGACTTGACCTAGTTTTCTCTAATGGAATCTGGGTTTGTTATTTTGTAACGAGTCTATCCAGAATATTATTATGGAGTCTGTTATGTCTCGATTTCAACTCTAAGGGACATAACTCAAGGATTACAATTTTTTCAATAATTTTTGTGATTTTTTTATATTAGAAATTGTTTTAGTATTCATTTAAATAGATATGCAATATCAAGTATAAAGATGTGGGATGAATAGAATTATTTCAAGTATCAGTTTCATATGATATTGAATAACCTAATTTCTGATGCAATTTTATGTGGACCTTGTATCGTAGACATAGAAATAGTTCGAGAAATCCGTAAAACTAAGTAGTAATTGGAACAAAATAGTTTAATACTTTTCATTAGTAATAGTGAAAGAAACAAAGAAAATATTTGACAGAAACTGTTACTCGCACCTGCAGACAGCTTTATGTTACCATTAAAAAAAATATGATTTCATCTTTACGGGAGATAACTCCTCATATTATATTTCTAAATGACTTGACCTAGTTTTCTCTAATGAAATCTGGGTTTGTTATTTTGTAACAACTAATTCCAGAATATTATAATCGATGAAAAACCTCTGTTTTATCTTTATTACTTCTGCTATATTATTTAAATAAATCAATTATGTCATCATGATTGCTTGTTTCAGCAGCAGTATATTCCTTTAATGAATTACAAATTTCATTCATTTTATCTGTTGAAAATGACTTTCTATTTGCTGAAACTGTTCCTCCTTTAATGGAATCTCTAATACATTTTCTTATAAAATGATTAGTATGTGAGTAAACTTTTTGTATCTTTTTATTTTCAACAATTTTGTATGTAGTTTGGTTTTCATCATTTTGATCTTCAACCATTTCTTTATCGGAGTGATATAAATAATACCAACCCTTTAAAGAGAAAAAAATGAGCTATTAGATTATTGGAAATATACTGGTTTACAACTTCTATCGTAACTTTGTTATACTAAACAAGCTCCAAGACATAGTGTATCCCTTTTTGCATATGGTTCACATCTTGAAGATTTAAACGAGGTTACTATTCACAAACATAATGACATAAATTAATTTGACTTCAAGTACCTAACTGGCTAGAACTTCTAATTAATCATCCACTAAATCATAACAAATATCTAACAAACTGAAAAGAAAAAAATAACAAACAAAAGCAAACGAAAAAACGATGTTATAAATGATTGACCATGCAATCGTGTGTAATAAATATCGCTCACAGCAGGTTAAAACTACAAAATCGATCAACTGAGTGATCCAGTGAGTAGGTAATTCAAACTTTCAAAACAAAGCTGACAACAAATTTCATCGTCTTCCCTTCCTCGTCCGTTTCCAGATTCACTATCACTATCCTCTGTTGACTCATTCTTGCTTGTATCACCAGGTAAACCAGTCTTTAGCTCTGTATCTTCAGTTATAGCCTGCTGTTCATTATAGACTTATAGATTTGTATACGAGATATGCTTGCGTTATTCCTTTGAAAAACAAAACAGGATTATCAGTCAAACACGCATTTGAAACGATTATGAAACAATCTAGCCGACATCCAGAAAAACTGTGGGTAGATAAAGGAAGTGAATTTTATAACAAAAATATGAAATCTCTGGGATTCATAATGAAGGTAAAACTGTAGTTATTGAGAGATATAATAGAAGTTCCATCTTTAATTTTGAAATCGCATCTGAAATAAGCATCGGAAAGAAGCAACCAATTCGATAATGAATTTATTTCGAAGGTAATTTTACCACCATCATTCAAATTTTTCGGCCCAGAGAGCTTGTATATATCCCCGATTATTGGGTGTACAAGCTGGATGTTATTAATAGCTTGTAATGAGGACAAAGAATCAGAAAATATAATACATTTTTTAATGATGTAGAGGACTGAAAAAACTCAAGTGCCTGTAAAATGGCAATGAGTTCTGCAGTAAATATTGAGGCTGCTGGTGGAAGAGCTACAGATAGAACTTCGGATGGTGTAACTGTAGCGGCTGCTACCTTATCACCATCCTTAGACCCATCTGTATAGAAAGGAGCAAAATCCCAATATTTAGAACTTAGTTCAAGAAATTTAGACTTGAAGACAATAGAGCTTGTCTGTGACTTCTTGTTGCTCGATAGACTAAAGTCTATTTGGAGTGGAGCAATTGACCATGGTGTAATAATGGTCATGGCAAAGTCCGCAATACTGTCGTGGCTTATACCAGCCGCTGACATAAGGGGTTGAATGCGGACTCCAAAAGAAGAAACAGCACGAGGCTTTGCTTCGTACAGGGGCTCAAAGTAAGGTCTAAATACGGGGCAGTAAGCAGGATGGGGACGAAAAGAAAGGAGGCACAAAGGAAGGCGACCTCATGCTGTAATGAGCACTCTACAGGTGCCCTTGTTGTAAGTTATCATATGTGGTACTTCGCTGAAATTGTTGTGGCTTAGAGACATAATGT